GCCTCCACAAGACCCCGCACCCTAGAGTGCAGAGAGGATTAAAGTTGCTCCTCATCACTAGCACATTGAGTCTCAGCAGCGCATGGCCTGCAGAGGGGCTCCCCAGGCAGGCGGTACCAGTGTGTGTCACGCACATGCTGTGCACCTAGGTGCACACACACTGCCAGTTGATGTTCCCGCAAATGCAGGTCTCCGCATGTCTTTACCACATGCTGCATAACACCCCCAGTCACCTGCACACACCAACAAGCCCGCAAATGCAGGTCTCCGCGTGTCTTTACCACGTGCTGCTACGCGTGCAGACACATGCATAACACCCCCAGTCACCTGCACACACCAACACACGATGCATGTGTGTCAGTGCAGAAATTCACACCACTGCATGGGAAGCACATGGACACAGGCCATGTGCACGAGCACACGTATGCACACTTAAGCATACCCTTGCACACAAACGCCTGGGGCTGCCGGACCGGGCACCCTCCCGCGTTCCCCACGCACGCAGTAAGTCACAGAAGCGGGCACGGCAGGTGAGCAAACATGTTGGGATCCGGGGTTGGCTGTGGAGGAGGGGGTGTCTGCACGGGAAGCACATGGACACAGGCCATGTGCACGAGCACACGTATGCACACTTAAGCATACCCTTGCACACAAACGCCTGGGGCTGCCGGACCGGGCACCCTCCCGCGTTCCCCACGCACGCAGTAAGTCACAGAAGCGGGCACGGCAGGTGAGCAAACATGTTGGGATCCGGGGTTGGCTGTGGAGGAGGGGAGCATGGTTTCCTGGTTCACACGGGGTCCTCCCAGGCACGCAGGCAGCTGGGTCTCCAGGCCAGCAGGCCCAGCCCCACACTGAGTGCGGCCAGCACGGCCACCACCCCGGCCAGCAGGGGCACCACGGGGGCTGCAGGGAGAAGGGGGTGTGTTGAGTCTTGAGACTGGTCCCCCAACACTCCCACCCCAACACCAAGGGCCTCACCTGCCAGGGTGGGAGGTTCATGGGAGCCGTGGCAGGGGACCCCGTGAACCGGAGGCCGGGCCTGGGCGGTCAGCTGGTGGAAGCGGCCCAGTGGGCAGGGGCCTGGGCACCCGGGGAGGCTGAGGCTCAGGGGCCGGCCGGCAGAGTTATTGCGGTAGAAGAGGGAGATGGTGACATTCCTGGGCAGAGAGGAGGCGGTGGCGCCCAGCACCTGCCAGCCCGCCAGCCCCGCCCCAGGCCAGTCTCCTCTGCAGGCCGGTGCCGGCTGTGCCTCTGCCTGCCACCCCGTCTCTCCTGACAGTTCCATCCAGCCCGTTCCCAGCGCCACCCCCTCCTCACCCTCCGTCTTCCTCTGGGTCCCCCAGGCGCTTCCGGAACTCGAAGCCGAGGCAGGCAGCGTAGGGCGGGGTGTGCCCGTCGTAGAGGCCCAGGGCCCCCTGGAGCGCCAGCAGAGTGCTGTCGTGCTGCGGGCGGACCCCAGGGCTGAGACAGGCCCCATCCTCATGGCCTGTCTCCTGAACACTAGGCCCGGGCATCCAGCTGCCTCCCGATGTCCCCCAGACCCAGACATCGCCCCCCAGATCTGCTCACTCCCGAGGAGGCCTCATCATTACAAGTAATCACTTAAAGGGGGTCGCATAGATGCGGAACAGGGTGGGAGGGACAGCTCAGTTAAACAGCCTGTCCTGAAAGAGCCACATCCCTCCTCTGATGACACACCCTCCCTCCTCGGGGGCTGGACCCCTCTAGTGCCGTATGGTCCAAGGGCATGGCCGGGAGACATGGGTTACCCAGGGCAGTGGGCTGAGGTCCCAGTGAGACCCCCGGTTCTTCCTCACTCGAGCCGCCACCCCCTCAACCCTGTGCCCACACAGCCCGTGCGGTCTCCCCAAAGACTCACGGCCGAGTACATGACCATCTTGAGGGGCAGCCCCAGGCGCTGGGCCCGGGAGAAGTTGGCAAGGATGGCGTCTAGCAGGATCCCTGGGGGGCGAGAAGGGGGTGCTGAGGATCCCCAAGGACGGCACCACAGCCTCCCTGCCCCCCCCCAGCCCCACACCGCACCCCCCGTCAGCTGGGCCTTCTCTGCTGCCCGGGGCGGGCCCACGTGGGCCCCAATATCCAAAGCCGAAATCTGGGCTAGTGTCCGCAGGACATCCGGGGAGGCCCAGGACGGGAGGGGAAGGCCGTGAGCTCGCTGCGAGAGACAGGGAGAGAAGGCGAAGTCACGGGGACGCCCCGAGCTCTCCTCCCCCGCCTCCCAGTGTCCGTGCGGTCCCCATTGCCTGCGGTCCCCTCCGCACCCCTGATGGGAGCCCCTCACGGCCTGGGTCTGGCTGGAGGTTACCATGTGGCCAGGAGCAAGTGCTAATTAACAGCAGCCGTGGCCGTCACCCCGCCTGCCCAGAAGCCCGTATCAGAAACCCCGGGGCCAGAGGCGTTTCAGAATCCAGACATTTCAGATTTGCGACAGGTGGAACAGCTCCCGTGCCCCATACCCCTGGCGTCTGGGGGCGGGGGCTGGGGCAACCCCTCGATCACGCGCATGGCAAGTAAGGACATCCCCACGACGTCGGGAAGACGAGGCTGTTTGCAGTGCGTATGGGATAAGGGAACCTCGGCGGGGGAATCGCAAACGCGGGGCCTCCGACCCCGGCGCGGGCCTCGCTGCGTGCCTGGCACTGCTCTAAGCACACATCGTGGATTAACCCACTTCAGTCTTCACAGCAGCCATGGGTGCTGTTGGCATGGGTGTCGCCGGCCCCGTTGTGCACATAGGGAAACTGAGGCACTGAGGGTTAAGTGACTTGCGTGAGGAGACGCTGGTCATGAGCAGCAAAGCCGGGGTGTGAACCTCTTGGCTAGGTGTTGGGGGGCCTCACCTGGCACATCAGTGTGTCCAGAACTTTCCACGCCCTGCGCAGCGGCTCCCCGACCAGTGACAGCCCCGTGAAGTTCTCCAGGTGAGTTAGGAAGTCCTGGATGCACGGGCAGGTGAGTCCGGTGGGCCTCCTCACCCCAGTCCCCGCTCTCCCGCCCTGCTGGCCCCGCCCCGCTGGCCCCGCCCCCTTCCCGGTCCCGCTGCCCCGCTCACCGTCCAGCCCTCCAGGGCTGTCTGGTACTCAGCAGCCTCCGTGGCCTCGCGCAGCAGCTCATGGTATCGGGGACAACTGCGCATGGGGAACCTCAGCAGCTGGGGGAAACTGAGGCTCAGAGGGGACCGCAGCGTCATGAGGGCGGGGGAGCCAGCGCTGTGGGGCCCTGTCTCTCCCAGATCTGGCTGCTCAGCGCGGGAGGGTGGCTCACGGGACCAGAGAGCCTGGCCCCCCAAGGACCTTGCTGCTCCCAGCCAGCTCAGGCTCCTAGGAGCCGCCCAGCCGGGCCCAGCGTCACCTCCCAGCCTCCGGCACCCTCCCCGGGGCCTCTGCCTCTCTCCACCCCTCACTCCCTGGCCCTGTTCAGCCCCCGACCTTGTCCTCAGCGACGGGCACTGTGTGCACTGGGATGGGCTTCCAGGCAGCCTCTGGGCGCCCTGGGGCGGCCTCGGGGAACAGCCCCGCGAGGTTGGCCTGAGCACTCTCCAGCGTGCGGTCGAAGTCTGTGCTGCGAACATACACCTGGGGTGGGGAGAGGGCAGACCAGGGCACCCCGGTTACAGGGGATCCCAGTTATGAGGGGACCCTGTTACTGGGTACCCCAGTTATGAGGGGACCCCGGTTACAAGGGCGCCATGGTTACAAGGGCGCCACAATAATGAGCGGGCCGGGGCCAGGGTCAGAGGCTAGCTGCAGTAGCAACCCAAAAGCCTTGGACTGCCTTTGGGGTCAAGGGTCAGGTGTCAGGAGTCAAAACTCAGGGCAGGTTTGAGTGTCTGGCCTTCCATGTTGGACGTTGGGATCAAGGGTCAGAGGGCACTGTCAGGAGCAGTCGGGTCAGAGGTCAGAAGTTGGGTGGGCGTGTAGGATGAAGGGGTCCGTTGAGTCAAGGAAAGTCAGAAAGGAAGATCAGAATGGCTGGAAGGTCAAGCTTAGGAGGGCGGTACAAGGACATGGGGTCAGAGTTCAGTACACGTCAATCAGGGATCGGAGGTCGGAAGTCAGGAGGCGTGATCCTGACGGGGGTGTCAGAGGACAGGAAGTAGGAAAGGAAGGTCAGATTCGATAAAGGGTAGAGATCAAAGGCTGGAGGTCAGGAAAGCAAGTTGATTCAATAAAGGTCAAAGAAAAAATCAAGTTTTAGAGTTGGAGTTCAGAGATCGAGATGTGACTCAGGGTGAGATCTGGTCAGAGGTCAGTGTGGGTTAGTAGATGACTCGGCGCCAGAAATCAGACATGGTGTGCAGATCAGGTTGGTAGGGGTCAAAGGCCAGAGGTGGAGGCCCAGGGAGGGTATTGGAGTCAGTGGAGGTCAGAGGTTGGAGGTCAGGAGTCTGGGTCAAGGTGGCAGTACCTCCTCCCGCCGGTACTTGGGGCTCAGAAAGTGTTCGTAGCGACTCCTCAGGAAGCGGCCCAGCTCCAGCTGCTGGAGTACCCCCTCCTGGGGACAGAGCGGGCTCAGCAGACCCCTCCCGCCCTGCCCCACCCCTCACACCCAGCCCCAGCTTCTCACCGAGGTCAGCTGGCCCAGGCCACGTGGCCACAGGGTGGAGATGGCCTCCTTGTGCGGGTCTGTGGGGTAGGAGGCCAGTGGGGCCCTGTCTCCATGGCGGAATACCTGGGGGGCGGGGCACTGGGTCAGGGCTGGCCTGGGGGGAGTGAGGGGCCGGGCTGGGCCGGGATGGGGGCGCCTCACCACAGCCACAAACACCAAGGGTCCTTCCGGCAGGGCCTGGGGCAGGAACAGCAGCAGGAGCGGGAGAGGTCCGGCGGGGTGGCCCCGAAACCCTGGCCCGGCCATGGCCGCGCAGCCAGACGCTGAGCTCAGCCCGCCGTCTGTGCCAGAGCCCCACCTGCTCATTACCCCCCAGCACCCCCTTAGGGCAGGCCCCAACTCGCCTCCCCAGGGCCGGCTCCCCCAGGGCCTCCGCCAGCCTCGGATTCATCCGTGGGCTAACCCCGGGAGGGGGCGATACAGTTATCACCACCCCGTTGTGCAGGCGGGGAAACCGAGGCACAGAAAGCTTAGATAACTTGACCCAGCTAGTGGAATCTGACCCCGAGTGCCCTTAACTTGGGCACAGAGGCAGAGAGAGAGACCCCCACCCTGCCCCGCCTTCTAGACTCCCATTCTCTGCTCTCTCTCCCGCCCCCGCCTCCGGCCGGTCTTCCTCTTCTCACCCCTTAAATGTTGGGGTTCTCCGAGGCTCGCTTGGGCTTCTTGGTGATTTCGCCTCCTCTATTGCTACCTCCACAGCTGGCCAAAGCCAGCACGGACAGGTGGCTGAACTCCGAGACCCTGGAGCTGGCCAGGCTGAGTTCAAAACCTGACCTCAGCATCTACGAGCTGTGTGACTTCGGGCAAGTTGCCGCACCTCTCTGTGCCTTGGTCTCCTCGTCCGTAAAATGGGAATGAGCACAACCTGCTTCTCAGAGAGCTGCCTTGAGGATTGAACTGGCTCTGATACACTCCTCACTTAGAACAGGGTTCTGGGGGCAAACTGCTAAACAGCGTGAGTTGTTTATTGCCGAGAGACAAATGACCCTAAATTTAGTGGCTTAAGACAATAGCCATTTATTCTCTCTCACAGTTCTTACGGGCCAGGAACCTGGGAGCGGCTTAGCCGGGTGGTTCCGGCTCGGGGTGTCTCACGAGGCTACAGTCAGCCGGAGCAGCAGAAGGTGAGAATCATTGAGGTATCTTGGAGGCTACTCCTTAGTAAAGTTCTTTAAATAAATAAAGATGCCTCTTCGGCCCTCTTTCTGTGACCTCCCAGAATCCATATGTTGAAAACCTAACCCACCCCTCCTTCCCCCTCCCCGGAGGCCATGGTGTTGGGAGCTGGGGCCTCTGGGAGGGGATTCCTGAATGTGAGGAGGGCTGCCTCGTCCCCTCCCCCACGCGAGGACACTGGGAGAAGATGGCCATCTGGGTAGCGGGCTCCCACCAGACACCGACTCGGCCACAGCCTTGATCAGGGACTTCCAGCCTCCAGAACTGTGAGAAATCAATGTCTGTTGTCTGTGAACCCAGGCTGAACAGAGCTATGACACTCCGCAGCTCCAGACCCTTAACGTGATCACGGCCACAAAGTCCCCTTAGCCACGTGAGGGGCCGTGTTCACGGGTTCCGGGGATGAGGATGTGGGCCCCGCGATGGGTCCCTCTCCTGCCCCTCGCTGCCCTGGAGTCACATCTTAGTTTGCTGGCCCTGCCACGGGAAATGACCACACACGGGGTAGCTTAGACAGCAGAAGCTGACTCTCTCATGGGTCTGGAGGCCAGAAATCCAAACTCGAGGTGTCAGCAGAGGCTTCCTTCTGAGGGAGCGTGTGATCCAGGCCCCTCCACTAGCTCCCTGTGTGGCCACGAGCTTTGGTGTCCCTCCACCTGTAGATACATGACCCTGACCCTCCCCTACTCACAGCCCTCCCGTGGCTCCTCCACAGGGGGACAAATGCCTCAGTGTGGCATTGGGGGTCTGGACCCTTCACAAATGTCCGGATCCTGAGTTCAGATAGTGCACGGGACATTCTGCACCCAATTGTCCTGTCTCCCAGGCCTCTGCCCCAATGTGTCCTATACCCAGAATGCCCTTGTCCATCACTATGGCCGCCATTGTGGTCTCCCAGACGACGCCTCTCAGGTTCCAGCGGCCGTCGGCCCCTCTCTGTCTCAGAGGCTCAGGAAAGGGAGAGGGAGGCCAAGAGGCTGTGTCATCGAGGGCCCCATGGCTATGAACTTTCAGGAAGTGAGGAGGGGTCCAGTGGGGACGGGAGGCTTGGAGCAAGGGGGAGGAGGGGTGGGTCCTGACCTCTGACCTCTCCCCCCAGAACGTGACACTGGCCATGGCCGTGTTCACCATCCTCGCCTCCATCTACTTCTTCAACAAGGTAAGCGGGACAGACGGCGGAGGTGGCAGGCGGATCTCTGGTCCCCGTTTGGTCATCTTGGCCTCTCTTTCTCCCCGTGTCTGTGATCTCTGTCTCTCCTCCTCTCGTAGGCACAGAAATGAGGACACACAGGACAGCCTCCTCCAGGAGCTCTGCCTCTGCCCCAGCCATGACTCTGGCGTCTGAGACCAAATAAATGTGATCACATCGGCAAATCCTGCTCCGTTCCACTGCCCCGGCCACATGCGGCTTCTGCCAGCTGTGTTTGAGGGTCAGGCCTCTGTGTCTGAGGGGCGGGGGGCGGGGGTGGTGCGGCGCTGGAGGCCTGAACTCCCCCATCTGAGGGAGGACGGGCTGGGGGCCTGGACTCCCCGGATCCGAGGGAGGAGGGGCTGGGGATTCTTGACCCTCAGGTTGGAGGCGAGGGGCCCAGAATCTGAACCAGGTTTGAGGAATGGGTAGGGGTCCATCGGAGTATTTAGAGGGTGAAGGGTACCCCGTTTCTGGGTGCAGAAGCATGAAAGCTGACTCACCGGTGCCAACATAGACTGCCACGGACACCGGACGCGTTCCCTCTCTCTGAGCCCTGGTTTTCGGTCAGACAAAGGTGAAAATCTTTGTCCGGTGAGCCCCAGGAGGCCGCAGCAAGGACGGCCTGAGGTCAAAGGTGAGAGCAGAATTCGCAAGCTGGAAGGGGTCTATAGCCATCATCTTTCTCATGATGTTATATCAACGCATCTTCTCCTTTGCCCTATTTGGCCATCGGTGCCTGCTGTCAGTGTCCCTTGCTATGGAAGTGTCCGTACCCCAGACAGGGTCTGTTAGTGCCTCCTCCCTGCTCCCTGCCTCTCCCCCCCTCCACCTCCTGCATCTGGAACACCCTGGGTGACACCCCAGCCTCTGGCTGAGCATCTGACACTGTCTCTTCCAAAAAGAAGCAATTTCAAGATCTGACAAGGCAGCATCTGAATAGGGTGAACGAACATCTAGCGTTTCCCAGGAGAGGCCGAGCACATTCCAGTTGTACAGAGTCTCGCTACCATTTCGGCTCCGGGGCTGCAAACGCTTGAGGCCAGCGGTCACCGGTCACCGCGCCCTCGCAAATCCCCGAGCGTCCCGCTGGTCGCAATGCTCCGAATGACCACACGGGGGAGGCGTCGGACTATTTCTGCGGCCAGTCGGCAGTCGGGCTCCGGGAGCAAAGTGGGTCCCGCAAAGCCGCAGCCCCGAGACCGCGGGAGGGAGGGAGGGGGGCGGTCCCCGCAGCTTCTCCCCGCCCTGCAGCCTGGCGTCGGAGGCTGTGTGCCCTGGTCCCCTCCAGTCGTTCCCTCCTTTTTTTTTTTTAAATTTCACCCACCTCCTATGTCCCCTCCAGTCTTAAACACATATAACGCAGGGATGACTAAAAAAAATAATAATTAAAAAAAAAAAAAAGCCATGCCCAGGACCTTCGCAGGTGCGGTGCCTTCTGCCCGGAGCGCCCTTTCCCACCTGTTCCGTGTCAGCCCTTCCAGAAGGCTTCTTGGGGCTCTCTCCCCTCCCATTCTGGGCAGCTGTAACTGGGAGCTTAGGCGGGGGTGCGGGGCACCCAGAATAAGATCCGACGCCTGCTGCGTGGGGCCTGTCCGTGTCCGTAAAACGATTTACTGACAAAGAAGTTGGTGTCTGCGGGAGCCTGGCTTGGCAGCCACTTAGTGCTGGGTTTCTAAGTCTCCTGGGAGCGCTTGGGGTTGTATTTTCACAGCCACAGGCTCTTGGAGGTGGATGTGGCTCAGCCCAGAGTCCCGCGGGTTTCTCTGGGGACCTTTTGAAATTCCCAGAGCCCAGCTCCAGCCCGGCCCCCTTAAACCACAAAGCCTAGGGACGAGGCCTGGACATCGATTGCATTTTAAAACCTCCCCGAGAGATTCTAATGTGCAGACGGGGTCAAGTGGCATCACCGTAATTCGTTTAATTCATTTTCCAAGGACAGAGAGAGATAGATGTTCCCCCACCCCAACCCCACCCCCACCGGAGCTCAGGGCAGTTCTGGGTAGCTCCACAGACACCCAGGAGACGCACAGCACCGAGCAAAGATTAACCTTTACTTTGCAAACAGTTGGGAGCTTGAACTTGAAAGACGGCGGACGACAGGGATCCCAAGGCAGAGCTGTTAGAAGGCGTGTATGTCTCTTTTCAGGGCAGGGGGTGGTGGTTTATTTGGTTTTCGCGTGTGCGTATTTCAAATGCAGCAGCAAGAAGAGACAAATGATGACCCAGATCTGGTGGCTCAGTGCCGTCCAGTGTGACCCACCGCCCCACCCAGGGGACCAAGGCACCCGGTGTGCATGGGACTCCCCTGGTTTCCGCTCTGAACATCCCAGGTGCCCGGAACCCCTCGGCCACAGGATTGCGTGGTCAGTCACCCCAGTCCCAAGTTCCTGTCCCGTGTCATCAGACGCAGGCCCGCGTCTCTCCGTCTGTGTGTCTGTCTCCCTGTCCGTCTGCCCGCCTCTCCCCACGCATCCCCTTCTCCTTCAGTCTGTCCCCCATTCTATTTCCATCCCTCCCTCGAGCTCCCCGCGTTCCTGTCTCTCACCGGGTCTCTGTCTCCGTGTCTTTTTCTGTCTCGTCTCCCACTCGGTCCCTCCCGGGAGCCTGACCCGTCTGTCTCCTCTGCGCCCTGTCCCGTCCCATCTGCATCGTGCTCATCTCCCCCTCGGAGTGTCTGTCTCTTCCTCTGCTTTGTCTTCTTTCTCTGCGGGTCCCTGTTCCCCTCTCTCCGAGCCTCTGTCCCCTCTCCACACCCGTTTCTCTGTGGCCTCCCATTCCGCTCACTGCCTCTCGCTGCGTGTCCGAGTATTCCATTCTCCAGAGGGGGAAGAGATTGGCGAGCCTCCTCTGCTTCCCTTCCCCTCCCCCGCGCTGTCACCAAAGCCCTAGAAATGTCCCTTCAGGTCCTGGAAGGAAGGCAGGGCCTCCAGCCCCAGCGCCCAGCCCCACTGTCTCCTCCTCAGACACCCCCCACCTTCCCGGGCAGGGCCAGAGGGCCCGGCACAGCCGCTGCCTAAAGGCCTGGTCCCCGCACAGCACACGTAGAGCAGAGGGTTGAGGCAGCCACTGGCCCCCACCAGAGCAAGCCCCAGGGGCCTGAGCAGCACCCAAACCTCCTCCATGTCCCACCCGGCCTCCTGCATCCCCACCAGCTTCGACAGAAGCAGCAGGTGGAAGGAGAGCCAGCAGAGACACACCACGGCCCCAAGGCCCAGGGACCCTCAGCAGCGGGGGCCACCCCGTCAGCCTTGCCAGCTGCTGCTGGGCCTCCAAGAGGCTGTGACAGGCGCTCAGCACCCCCAGAGGCACCCCGAAGCCAAACAGCAGCTGACTTGGTGCCGGCTCGGAGGAGCTGTGGGGCAGCCCCCGGGCAGGTGTCCAGCCGCCAGGCGCGGCCTGGTTCTCCGGGGCCCACAGGGCCAGTGTGCCCAGGACCAGCACGAGGAGCCCAAACCCAGAAGACCGCCCTGCGGGCACCGCGGTGGCCCCGCGCCCAGGCTGGCCAGAGGGGCAAGGTGAGGCGCAGTGGTCGGCGGCCCTGCGGGTCAGCAGGCGGCCGCCAGCGTAGGTCAGGAAGGCGAGGCCAGGGTCCAGGTGGCAGAAGGTTCCAGCCAGGGCCCAGTCGGAGCGTGTCCAGGTGAGGGTCAGTGGCAGGAGGTCAGTGAAGGCGACGTCAGTTGCACCCTGGTGGCCGAACCAGATGTCCAGCCGGCAGAGGGGGAGGCAGCAGGGGCCCTGCAGCTCGGATCAGCAGGCCAGGTGGCCCTGGACTAGCAAAGCAGAAGGACTGCACCTGGAGGGCCCAGGGCTGTAGGGGAGGGTGGCCGCAGGGTCTCTGAAGGCTCCTCCATGGGCTGGACGGGCTCGTGGGGACCCGCAGGCATCCATGTCAGCACGTTCCATGCCCGTACCCCTAAACTTCCCCGGCCCCCCAGAGACGGCATCGCCGTCCTCCCAGACCGGGGACACCGACCCACCCCTGCCCTGCCTATAGGCCTCCCGCAGCTTCCCAAGGCCCCCGACAGAGTCTCAGCCCTTCAGTCCGCGGTGGAGCCCCGGGGTCTGGCCCCACCTCCCCTGCAGCCGCCTCTCCTGTCCTTGTGTCGGACCCACCCACCCCCCAGAGCCAGCCCTGTGTCGGGCCTCAGGCCCCTCCCTCCGGCTGTCCCTTGTTCCCTCAAGAACCCCGTACCCATCAAGGTCTGCAGGGCCCTTGCTGTGCCAAGCCCCACGAGGTGGCTGCTCCTAACAGTTCCCCCTTTCAGGTGGGGAAACTGAGGCTCGTGAGAGACTCACTCGCTTGAGACCAGCGCAGACAGAGACCCAGCCCGTGTGACCTCAGAAGCCCGGATGTGAACTCGCGGGTTCCACGCTCAGGACCTGCTCTGTCCGTGGGCCTCAGTTTACCCACTCTGTTCCTCCTCGTCCTGAGCCCACCGGCAGGTGGCGGGGTCAGGTGTCTTCCAGGCTGTGTCCGAGCAGGAGCTGGTGGCGGGTTTCCCCTTGAGGACCCAGGATGGGGGCCAGGAGGGGCAGCGCGGCTCCCAGGTGGACAGGGGAAGTAGGAGCCAGAGGCGGCGGGACAGTAGAGGCCCCTGGGCAGCGTCTGAGCATGGGCTCAGTTTCCCGCCTGCAGACTGAAGGACTGGCTCTCTCTCTCGGGCTCTGTCCCCCCAGCACCCCAGGATAAGGTCTGCGCCCCTCACTTGCGTTCTCGCCCATTGTGGCCCCGCCCACGTCGCCGGCCTCACAGTTTACCTCTTCCCTCCCTGCGGCTCAGGTGGGGGGTCCCCAGAACCAGCACCACGCATGCGCACTCCCGCCTGCCGCGGCCTCCGGCTCATCCTGGGGCGCTTCGCTTTATCCTTGCCCTTCCGCCGGCAAACTCCTACGCATGCCCCAAAACCCCGACCCAGTGCCCACTTCCCCAGAAAGCCCTTCTCTGGCTACCGCTCGGCCTGGCAGGCTGGAGCAGCTGTCACCTTCCCTGTACGTAGGACATCTGGCAAGGTGTCCAGGCCACACCAAGGGGCAGGAGCTAAGTCCCGACTCCGAGCAGGGCCCTGGGCTATGACCTTCGCGGGCACCGTTTCGATTCGTTCTTCCGAGGGCGCTGGGAGGACGATGCTGTTTCCGTCCTCGTTGCATCAAAAGGGGAAACTGAGGCACGGAGCTGGGTTAA